CATTAAATTCACTGGAATAAATTATTAAATTAAGTTATAAACTGCTTTTGAACAGTTATTTTAAAGAGCAATAACATTTCACAATTTGTACTGTGTTGTTTATTAAATAAATGCAGCCATGGTGAGCACGATAAGCTTATTTTAAAACATTTAAAAATCATACCGACCCCAAACTTTTGACCAGTAATGTATCTTTACCTCCTTTTTTTTGCATTAAAATGTATCATTAATTAAGTTAATTACCAAAATCAAGTGTTGACAGTTTTCATTTACACACTGGTTTATTAATGCAATTATTTATTTATCAGGATGCTATAACTATCCAAAGCAACATCAGTTTGTTTAAATAGTAAGTAAATAATTTTTACTTAAAATTCCGCCTCGAATCCCTCATGTCATTTAAATCCCCTATACCCTCACGCTCTCACTTCTCCCCTATCTTTCATCTCTTTTCTCCTTCGTTCTCCTGCGTGTGTTGTCTGTGTCTCTATAATTTATTCTCTCCATGGGGCTGCATCTATAACTCAGGTGGTTCAGTCAGAGCAGTGGACGCCCCGGGGGGAATCTGGCCATTGGTTCCCAGGCCGAGAGTCCCATCTCTGGGTGGCCGCGGTGCAGCAGGCCCCCTGTCAGACCAGCGGCTCTTTGGATGGAGATTAATTATAGGCTCACAGCAGGGCTCATTAGCACTAGCCACGTCAAAATGCGGCCGAAGCACCACGGGGAACAGTCTCTCTCTTTCTCTCTTTCTCAGAATCATCCCTGCTGCCCATTAGTTTTCAAGGTAAACAGGTTGAAAGCAATTTAATTCGGTTACATTATCCTGTTGACGCTCCATGTCACATTAGCAGCGGCACAAATACAAGGTCTCGTGAGAATAAGCACTGAATGAGGGTTTCCCCAGGTTGATTTACCCTAGTGAATCTGGATCCAAGATTGTGTCATTGGTTTGGCAAAGCAGAATGAGGGGTGGCAATTTGGCTTGCTGTGTAAAACTGGTCATAGCAATTATAAAGGATCAGTGTGAAGTGTTATACAAATAAAGTGAGCCTGTTTTTATATCGCAATGGAGCTCACACTCAAAGCGCTGCACATCCTGGTGATTCTCCTACTACCTTTTCTAAAGTTCTAAAGCATGAAAAACTCCAATCACATAAATCAACTCACCAAACACAACAACAAATGAGAGACTTCTTTTTTAAGAAACATATTGGGCTCTATTTTGACGGTCCATGCGCAGAACACAAAACGTAGGGCGCAAACGCTTTTAGGGCGTGTCAGAACGCATTTTTGCTAATTTAAGGACGGGAAAATCCGCTTTGCGCCATAGCGCATGGTCTACAAGGGTTGAGTTTATTTTCTTAATGAGTTATAGGTGTGTTTTAAAAATAAACCAATTAGAGTCTCATCTCCCATTCCCTTTAAGAGCCAGCTGCGTCGCGCCATAAGCGCATTCACTATTTATAGGACGTAAAGTAAGTCTAAGTAGAAAATCTGAGCATTTCACTAGCAAACAGTTAACAGTTAACAGTTTTTTTAACAGAAAACTGTTAAATAGAGCATCTACTGAGTGAGAATGAGAGATAAAAGATCTACTTTCACTTTCGCTCTTGGATAGGGAAACCTTTACGCACAGACATCAATTAGTCAATTCGTTTCAAAACTATTTCTAAATTCAGTTATAATTTCCAGCAAACGAATAAATGAACAACAATAATGAAGTGTGTTCAAAAACTCTTCAAAAACTCTTAACCCTTCAAAAGAGTTATATCCTAAAACACATGATGTGCCCCTTATGGTCTAAAACCTGACATTATTTTAAATATTTGATCCACTACTGGTCGTTTCTGTTTGCTGTATAAGATTTGCTTGTTTTGTTGATTCTGCAGTGTCAGAATAATGTGTTTTCATGACGCATCATCGATCGGCCATGTTGGCGAGCTGAATACAAACAATGTCATTTACATTAACCAAAAAAAAAAAAAAACTTGCATATTTTGCTGATTTCTGTTGAAAATAGTTAATTATTGTCATCATAGACAATTAAATTCAGTGTATTAAAATATTATACCTTTCCCTGTTTACAAAGTCCAATAGTTGCTTTTTCTGTGGTTTAAAACGCATAATTTCAGCAAAACAACATTTTTTAGAAATAGATCTCCTTGCAATCCATAGCTGCGTCCGAAATTGCCTAATACTCAGTAGGTACTGCATTTGAATCAATCATTTTGTCATCATCGCGTGACCTAACCCTGTCAGTTGCATCGCTTTACTCCCATTCATGAATTCTCTTGAGGTGCTTCTTGGGATAGCGTAGCATCCATTCGATATGTTCTTCAGAATCTTGCCGGAAGTAATAGGTCATCTTGGTACTTCTCGCATACTGTTTTTCAAATTCAATGAATTTGAACATACTATACATTGCATACTGTTTTTAGCATACTATATAGTATGGAAGTATGGGATTTCAGATGCAGCCCATGCTGTTGTTTACATCCAGTATCTCCATAATGGCCGCCCTCTTTTGGAAAGCAGCAGCTCATTTGCATTTAAAGGCATATACACAAAAACAGTGTGTTTTTACTTATACCCAAATTGAGGCAAATTTGGAAAGGTCTAATAAATGATCCGTGGTGTATATTGACCTGAAAATATTCAGACACATTCTGGAGATGCCAGAGATTTACTCAACATCTTTCGAAAAGTGGCATAATTTGTCCCCTTTTTTAAAAAAAATCACTTCAGTTCAATTTACTCTACCTCTTTCTCTCCTCCGCTCTCACTATTCTCTGCTTTGGGGTGGCAAAGCTCATCTAAAGGGGGGCATACATCTGTCTACACCCTTGTGCCTGTGAGCTGTCTGATTAAACATGCTTACATTTATCAGTCGCTGCATCAGTGAAACAAATTACAGCTGAAATTCCTCAGACAAATGCTATTGTGTTGTCGCCTGCATTTGTTTTTGTGAAGCTGATTTGTATTCAGGGTGGCGTGCGGTGATGAGAGCCCCGTCTTCACCACACAGAGGAGACGTAGAGAGCAGCCGTATCTTCAAGCACAAAAAAGTAATTTAGCGGAAATAATTCTTTTTAATACTGAGGCGGAGATGCCTGATGCTAATTAGGAGTGCCAGTGAATCAGCAGTAACGGGGTAATTAAAGCTGTCAACAAACTCCCTCTTTCTCTCTCTCAACAGGTGCAGGGTTAAGGCATACCAGCAAGAAATAAAGACTTAAATATATATAGATATTAGTTAATTGAAAAAATAAAAAAGTCTATATCTAAGAGCCACATCAAAACATTTAGAAACCTTGTTATTCAAATAAAAGACAACAAAAATATTACATCTAAAGACTTAAATTAAGATTATTTACTTAATATTATATTATATTATATTATATTATATTATATTATATTATACTTAAGATAATATACTTCAGAATATATTATATTATTTTATAATTTATTATATTATATTATATTATATTATATTATATTATATTATATTATATTATATTATATTATATTATATTACATTTATTATATTATATATATTATATTATATTATATTATATTATATTTATTATATTATATTATATTATATTATATTATATTATATTATATTATATTATATTATATTATATTATATTATATTATATTATATTTATTATATATATTATATTATATTATATTTATTATATTTATTATATTATATTATATTATATTACATTACATTACATAATATCCAAAATGAATTATACATAAATATACATCACAGAAATATATTGCATTTTATACAAATTAAAATAAAAACATATTTTAAAATTAAAATATTTCACAACATTACTGTTACCAAATACAGGACTTATTTCAAGAAAAGACTACAAATGGTAAAAGGTTTTTTGCTATATGTTACGCAAGTTACTTTTTAACTTGCTTAATTGATTTTGAAAAAAAACATTGCGGAATAAAATTTCCTTAGTCAGGTTGAATTCCACACTCAATGATAGAGCGTGCTGCAAGGGAAAAGACAGTCGATTCGCACTCAGGTCTCTTTTTTCACAGCAGATGAGTCAGTGACTTCAGTTCACAATCTCCAGATAAAACAAGTCATTCGACTAAACCAAAAAAAAAAAAGGTTATTGCTTTTATTGTTGAGATGCAGCCACTGTCAGCGTTACTGTAGAAGCGAATATGTTTTGCAATATAGTACTTTTTTTTCTTTTGGGAAACGATTTACACATTTGTTAGGACCACGTGAAAAAAATGTATTCATGTATAAAGCTCAAAGATTTATTTTGATTTGAGAATTTTTCTTATCGTCTTACGGTTCATTTTGTTAAAGGTTTAAAATCTGTTTTTGCCTTAATAAATTATTTCTTGTTTACTTAACTAATGACACAAAACATTCAAAAGTAGCAAACACTGCTGTCATTAATCAGTATGTACAGCGTGTATAGCTCCAGGTTCAGAAAATTCTCAAAATATAATTTTATCCAACATTTTTTAAAGAGAAATGAAGGTGTAGGTTATATAGATGACTTAAATACAGAGCTTATCGATAAAAAAGTTGAAAAAACACCTGCAAGTTCTGAAAGAGATCAAACCTCAGCCAGGGGGGTAGGGAGGGTAGTAACTTAACTACTGTTATGCACTACACTACTTTCAAAAGTAAAATTGCCCAACACTGGATATTACATAGAATTAATTATGTAAAAAATAATACATTTTTATGTAGAAAATCAAATATATATTCTCATTATAAAAGGTAACAGCTGCTGATATAACAGCTGCTGAGGTTAGAGTAAATGATGTACTTTGATAACTCGAATATGGTCAGTGATTAAATATTTAGTCGACAGATGGCGCCATAGCCCACTATAGGGAAATATAAATGATACGCATTTTATACCAGCAGCAATAAAGGGCATTTTTACATAGTCTTGTTTCTCTGTCATTCCGTATTATTTATGATGTGTTCACATCTGTCTTTGTTTCAGTTGGATCATTATCCCGCCGTCACCTACAGCCTGCCCGAAGCCTCAGACACTCAGTTTACCCTGGTCAAGTCACTCTTCCTGGGTAAAGTCTTTGGTAAGTGCCCTGTGTTTCTTCGCAAAGCTTCCCTCAGCCTTGAGTTACCGTGTGCCCTCAAATCAATCCAAAATAACGAGCTTGTTTCCTCCTCAGTTGTGTTCATTGAATAATTTCTGGGTTTTACGCGTCTGATCTTTAAACCATTTGTGTTCATTAAGGAAGTGATCAAATTAAAACATTTGAAAATCAAAAAAAAAAGCTTGTGAGATGAATGTATGCTGACAGAATTTTTAAAAATACATTTATTTTTTATTTATATAAAAGCTGTGTTACCTGATTGTGGCCACTAGGTGGTGGTGGTAGACAATTCTATGGTAATATGATTTGATTGTGGCATTAATAAATTGATTTATCATGTGTTTTTTATTATATTCTTTGTTATGCTTTTATGATGTACGAATTTAACATTCTTCTGGTGCAGAAAATTTGTTTTTATCATAAGATTTTTACAAATGATTGATGATAAGTGCATATTAGGGTGCATATTGAAGGTGCATCTTATATATTTTTTTCTCATTTATTTACCTGAGTTATTTATATTAAATAACATGAAGAAACACACAAAGCTAACATTATTTTTTACATGCATTTAGTAGTATTATTTAACGTTATATCCATCAAATACAAAATCTCCCTAATACATTTCCTTTTGAAGTTCTGTATGGGAAAATTAGTAAATTCCATTTTGAACTAATATGAACATGCACAGTTCTATCACCCAACATTAAGAAAGTCAGGATTTAAAATAAACAATTTTTCCATATTAGGTAAATTTGTTTTGTCAGCAATTAAACTTTAAGCTTTATTTTATATTTTAAAAAGCCCAAAATAATGGGGCAAAGACATTTGATTACTTTGTTATATTACTTTGTAATAATATCCTCATTAATATAATAATGTTTATTATTAATATTAATATTATTATTGTGAATATTATGATTTCAAAATCATACAAAATATTCCAAACACAGTTGATATTATTTAACAATATCAATAATATTAATTTTCAATAATAATAATATGCGTTTTGCTTAATATACAGTTATATCAAAACAAAACTTAAGAATTACTGATAATATTCTCAGTTTTTTTAGTGTAAATGTTTTAAACAAAGGTTAAAGGTGGTATCGAATAAACTTTTCACTTTTGTCTGTTTGTTTGTGTTTAGTTATAGGTTTGTGCTTTTTCTGCCAGATCAGACAAGTCGAGAAGAACATATAAAGCTAGTTTTTTATAATCTTTGTATTTATGTTACATAATTGACCTGTTTGAATTTATTGACAGTTTAGACAGAACTAGCTATAATAATTAGGTATTTACACATAATCAGAAAAGACAACACCGAAATTGATTAATGTTGACATATGAGACTGTTTTATTGTACTCCAAAATAATCTCCTCCCACTCATAAACTGTGGCAGTTTGTTGAAGTCAGAATTATTATTATAATTATTATAATTATTATTATTTTCATGTCTAAAAATGAATGGAAGTGAATGAGACCAGAAGTCTCGTGCCAAAAAGATATAAATAGCTGCGCCCGCTCGTCTGCAAAGAATAAGGTGAATACAGCTTAAAGTGACATTTAGAGGCTTAACTAGGTTAATTAGGTTAACTAGGCAGGTTAGGGTAATTAGGCAAGTTATTGTATAACGATGGTTTGTTCTGTAGACTAGCGAAAAATATATAACTTAAAGGGGCTAATAATTTTGACCTTAAAATGTTTTTAAAAAAATTTGAAACTGCTTTTATTCTAGCCAAAATAAAACATACAAGACTTTCTTCAGAAGAAAAAATATAATCAGACATACTGTGAACATTTTCTTACTCTGTTAAACATTATTTGGGAAAATTTTAAAAATGAATAAAAAATTCAAAACGAGGCTAATAATTCTGATTTCAACTATGTTGTGAAAAGGGCTGCACGGTGGCACCGTGGGTAGCGAGTTTGCCTCACAGCAAGAAGGTCACTGGTTCGAGCCTTGGCTGGGTCAGTTGGTGTTTCTTTGTGGAGTTTGCATGTTCTCCCCGTGTTCGTGTGGATTTTCTCAGGGAGCTCCGTGGTTTCCCCCTCAAGTCCAAAGACATGTGGTACTGGTGAATTGGGTAGGCTAAAATTGTCTGTAGTGTGTGAGTGTATATAAATGTTTCCCAGTGATGGGTTGCAGCTAAAAGGGTATCCGCTGCATAAAACATATGCTGAATGGGTGGTTCATTCCGCTGTGGCGACCCCAGATCAATAAAGCGACTAAGCTGAAAAGAAAATGAATGAATGAATGAATGAATGTTAAAAAAGAAACAATATTCCTGACTTTCTGTTTACTCTGGGCACAATGACAGTCAGGAACATAATTTCTTTCTTCAAGTTCTCAGTGTCCTTGCATGTCCTCTAAGATGTCAGTAGCTTTAAGACAATCGTTTAAAGGTCTCTTACTCAAAGGCATATAACAGAAATGCTCTTTCTTCAATGAATACCGATGAGGCTTCAAGCAGATCCTGTTATGTTCAATTCAGCTCTGCCTGCTGATGCGCCAAAAACAGCAAAGTGACCCGCTGTTGTTTCCAATGACAGGAGACAGTTTAGGTGAACATTTCATGTGTTAATTGCTTTTTTATTGCCAGTGTGTGAGCAGCTTGTAACAAAGCAAAAACCAAGATCTTCCCAGACTTTTTAGGTTTGACTATAAAATGTAGACAATTTTTTGGTAGTAAAAAAACTGCTTAAGTTAAGGCTCATGCACAGTTAGATCATTTTTGATATTGCTTGTTGTCAGTGTTTTTCGAGACGTTTTTCATATGTATTCATTCCCAAGAGGCAATGAGCTAAGTGAACATGCAAAATCACTCCCTAATGTTAAAGGGGCCATGACACCCCCCATTTTCGGTTCAGGTCTACCTCAGAATTTTTTCAAAAGATGCATCTGGGCGTGGAGCTCTGTTAGCAAAAGGCAGGAGTGGGCATGGCCAGCAGAGCAAGGTAGAAGGAGGGGAGTGAACAACTGTTGTGTTGTCAGTTAGCTTACAAAATGAGACACAAATCGTGAGGAGACGCATGATTTTATAGTTTACAAAGTTAAAATTCAAAGAAATAAACAGTAGTTTAATGTCCTGCTACATTTGCTATTCATAATTTCATATACACACAACCACAATTTATATTATTATAAAGATAATCGTTTTCATATAAACAATATAAATGAGGACTTTCACCTCAATCCCCGGGTCTGAATGCAGATTCAGTGCAGCAGGTCTCTTTCCCTGTCTACTTTAACCATTAGCCCTGTTGGTAATCTAGAGGATTTAGGCAAACACTGCAGCACGGCGATGTGACTAAATGTGAACAAACTCCTGATAAAAGACAACGTCCACCATTCTCCAATTCTCGTACTGCTCTCCCGACAAAAATGCTTGCTGCACACACACAGCTTTGCTGTATCGGCCCTGACAAGATCACTTGGAAAAACATTCAACAAACCCCGTGGATCATGGAAACAAACACATACAACCCTTCATGAACGCCTAAATACTGTGTGCCATGAAAGCACGCGCAGTCATGAATAATTAAGAAGCCGGCTCTTCTCATAGAATAAGAAAACTCCGCTATGAATGTTAATGAGATTTTGATCCCGCCTCAAAAATCATTTTAAACCCGGAAGCTAAAATTAGCTGACAAAAGCTTCAAATTATCCAGTTTCCACCACTATTAAAGCTAACAGGTGCTAACATAGTCCTAACTGATGTTCAACACACACAAATCTTTTAACATCTTTAAAAAGTACTTGAGGGTTTTGTGAACCTTTAAATGCCCCTTTAAGGGATAGCTCTACAAAAAAAAATACATTTACTCACTATTTACTTATGCTCAACTGATTCCAAACCTTAATTAGTTTCTTTCTTTGTTTGTACACAAAAGAAGATATTTTGCAGAACCTGAAGATCTGTAACCATTGAATTACATGGTAGGAGTGAATGGTTACATCAAGCTTTCTTCAAAATATTGTGCGTGTGTAGTGATTTTGGTGGTTTATAAGGACAGTTTTTTGTAAAATGACATGGGTATGACACTCTATATGGATATGTAATAATAATAATAATAATTCTTTACATTTATATAGCGCTTTTCTGGACACTCAAAGTGCTTTACACATTTTTGGGGGGAATCTCTTCTATCACCACCAGTGTGCAGCATCTACCTGGTTGACACAACGGCAGCCAGGATGCCAGGGTTAAAACCCTACTCTTTTTCTAAGGACATCCTGGGATTTTTAATGACCACAGAGAGTCAGGACCTCAATTTAACATCTCATCCAAAAGACGGCGCTCACTGAGCAGTATAAAGTCTCCATCAATATACTGGGGCGTAAGGTCCAACACAGACTGCAGGTTGGGCATCCCCTGCTGGTCTCATTAACACCACTGCCGGCAGCAACATGGCTTTTCCATGTGGTCTCCCATTCAGTAATTGACCAGGCACAGCCCTGCTTAGCTTTAGTGTGCAACCATGTGAGATAGCAGAGAGCTAGCTGCTAACAGAGTCTTAGGGTGCTTTCACACCTGCCTTATTTAGTTCGATTGAATCGCACTAGAGTTCGTTTTCCCTTTTGGTGCGGTTCGTTTGGGCAGATGAGAATGCAGTAATCGTACTCGAGTGCGCACCAAAAGCGGACCAAATAAGCGTACCGAGACCTGCTTAAAGAGGTGGTCTCGGTACGCTTTGAAACGAACCCTGGAGTGGTTCGTTTGTGGTGAGAATATGATCCGTACTAAAACGGGTCCAACCGCATAAAGTACTGCAAGTTTTGGACTAATTCAGCTGCCGTAGGCCGATGCGCTGTGCATTATGGGATATGGAGGAAAAATATTTGTTGACAGCGCTTTACCAACAGAGAGAGAGAGGGGAAAACATTACCTGATGGGTCGTTGGTAATATTTCCGCAAGATAGCCATGTTGCATGTTCCAGCCGCGGCCGCGCTTCATTTTCGTAATGTATAGTTTG